AGCTCACCAAGAAGTGGGCAGTCTGGGTTGGAGGTGTCAAATGACACTGGCATCTTGGACCAAGTAGCTCGGATGGCCGTCAGCTTCTTTTCAATTTTGGCCTCCTTGACACTTTGGTCAACCACCTCAGACACATCTTCCGCAAACTCATGCAGCTTGAGATCAAGCAAGTCCTTGAAGCAAAACTCAGGGCCCTTTTCGAAAGACTTTTGTGTGATAGTCATGATGCTGCTCCAATGGCGGTCACGCATAGTCTCACCATGCAAATCATTCACCAAGGGTAGCACAGTTGCCATATTCTTGACTTCATCCGTCAGCCACCGGTAGAGGGCCCATGCCCTGATTTGCTTTGGCATGTTCTTCACCTGAGTTTGAAGATCGCGCGCATCCTGCACCAGTGAATCAGTGTCAATCTTGTCCCACAAGATTCCATTCCAGCTCTCGAAGGTTTCTTTCACAAGCGCCACTCCGTCCCACAGATTCTTCAGCAAAATCAGTTCTTCTTGACATTCCTTCAGCTCCCTATAGCTAGACATCTGCATGTCAAAGAGAAGCTCCAGGTCATTGAATTCATTTGCCTTCTGCCGGATCGCAAGGGTCTTGTTGTAGTACTCGTTCATTGTGTCATAGCTCAGGTCGTAGTCACCTGCCACAGCATTTGCCGGATCAAAGGGACACTTCTCACGGAATTCATGGCAAAAGTTCTGCAACTCCTCTGCAAAAATGTCAATCTTGTTGCGGATCTTGAGAACCTCTTCACTCTGCAAAGGCAGGATCTGTTCCTTGACGTCAAATGCCATGCGGATGACCTCATCCCATTTGTTTGGCGCCTGATCCAGCTCCGTCAATCCTTCATGATTCACGTGATGTTTCTTGAGGAGCTGGCACAAATCTCTGATCGGGGGGAAGAGCTTCTTCACAGCATTGGTTGCCAGCTTCACGTCTCGAATGTTGGTCATAGTGGAGTACAGCAACTTCTCATTCTCGGGCTCGTCCACTGGCGATGGGGGGCCCAGCCCCTCCTGCTGCTGGTTGATGAACTTGACCAACGTTCGAATACGGTCCTCCGTGAAGGTCTTGAGGAACTCCACATATTTTTCCTCCCA